AAATAATGATAATTAATTGCATAATACTAAACGAGTTAAAGCATTATTTGATTTATTATTAGAAATAATGGATGATGATAATAATGATAATAACAATAAGTAAGGAAATATACAATAAGTAGTAGTATATTAGTAGTAATGATAACAATGATTGACAAGTTAATTAATAATGATAAATAATAATAATAATGATAATAAATTGAATAACAACAATGATAATAATAATAATAATAATAATTAATAATATAATGATCAATATTATGATAATGGATAATTAATAATAATGATAAATAATAAACATGAGAATGAGTCATATATGTAGTGAAAGATTGATGAGGGTTTTTTGTTTTTTGATAAGAAAAAATGAGGAAGAAAAAGTTATAGTAATAATGATAATGATAATAATAATAATTATTAATGATGATGATGATAATAGTAAAAGTAACAATGATAATGATAATTATGTAATAATTATAATAATGATTACAAGCAATAATAATGTGGGCAATAATAATAATAATAATAATAATAATAATAATAAATAATAATAATAATAATAATAATAATAATATAATAATGATAATAACAATAATAATAATATAATGATAATGAAATTAATTATAATACTAATGATAATAACAATAATGATAATGAATGGTAACAGCAATGAAATTAATCATTAATGAAAAAATATGATAATGGAAATGATAAACATTTAATTATGATGAATCAAGAATAAATAACGTTCAGTGATGACGATAATGATATTAATGATATAAGTATAATGATATTATCATAATTAGGTGATAGTTAGAATGCCAATGATTAGTTCCATTACTTTAATAAAACGATAAGGANAATAACAATTAAAAAATACATAGGCACAACGATGGTAATAGATCGTATAGCAATAGCAGAACAATGGCAATAGATAATATATATTATTATAATGATAATAATATAATAATAATAATAAAATGATAATATAATAATAATGATAATAATAAATGATAATAACGATCATTATTACAATAATGATAATGAATGATAATGATAAATAATATAATATAAAATAATAATGATAATAATAAATAATAATAACAATAACAGTAATAATAGTAACATAATAATAATAATAATAATATAATAATAATAATAAAATTAATATATATAATAATAGCAATAATAGCATAATTATGATGATAATAATATAATAATGATATGAAATGAGAGAATAATAGTAATAATGATAATAATAACAATAACGATAAATGCTGATAATAAATTGAAATGATTAATAACAATAATGAATAATGGCATGATATCGAGTAAGAGAATAATCGATAAAAAAATCAATGTAAAGATAATGATAAGGAAAATGATAAACAACGGAGAGATAATGAATAGTGACCAAAACTCATCGAATAAATAATATAATAATACAAACAACAAAATTAGTAGGTAATATCAAAAAGTCTGTTAAACAAGAATCAACATCTATCTTCTCCTCTGACTATCTTTTTAATTCAGTTATATAATATTTCTTCGACCTCTCCCTTTTCTTCCTAACATTCTTTAAGCTCTTTGGCTCTCGCTTGTTCAAGATCCTTCATCCCATCTCCCGCAATCCCCCCCCCTTCTCCTTATTTCTATTACCTCATTACTACCCGCCCTATAAACGTCTCATTAAACACCTTAACGCTTTAAATGACACTCAGTCTCTTTCACCCCCACACGCCCCTCTTTCGTTCTTCCCACTCCCTTCTTCTCTCTCTTTGCCGTGTTCTATCTCCCTCTTTCTTCTTTTTTTTTATGTGTGTGTGCGTGCGTGAGGTGCTCTTACTTCTTACAAGCCATCTTCTTTTCCTCTTTTCCTAAATATCTTCTTTACTTCCCGTTTAAATCCCTTCCTTCCTCACGCTCCTCTCCACTAAACATTTCTTATTTTCTTTACACTTCCGGCTTTCCTTATTCTTTTATCTATTCCGCACCTCCTTCATCTCCCTTCTTCCCCATCGGCCTTCCCCCCTCTCGCCCTTCGCTCATACCGGCCCTTCTCCCCAAACGCGCCACTCCACTTCTTCAATCCTTCCAATCACTCATCTCTCTCCTTCACTCTTTCCCTTCATTCCCCCTCTCACCCCTCCTCTAACCATCCTCCATCCTCTACCTACCTCTTTCATCCCCTCCCATTCATATCGCACAGGTCTGTCGCCATTTCCCTACCTCCTCCATCCCCTCCTTCTCCTCCAGCGGCCTCTCTCCCTTCTATCACTTTGCGCACCCCCCAGTCCTTCCTCCCGCACCCCCCTCCCCTCTCCATCAACCCTTCACCCCTCCCTCTATCACCCTTTCACCCCCTCCCCAACCTCACCCCCTTACCTATCCATCACCCCTTCCACCACCCTACCTCTTCTATCACCTTCCCACCCCCTCCCCACCCCCCCACCCACCCCCTTACCTCATCACCCTTCCACCCCCTCCTCTCTCCATCAATCCC